TAACAAGACTCACGATTCAAAACAAAGCGCTCGAGCTTGCCCAAATCTTTCACTACGACTCAAAGGCTTGGGTGGATGGACTCTGCCCCGCCTTCGCTGACAGTTGCGAGGTGTCGGTCGCCTTCGGAGTCACCGTGCAGGTGATCAGTATCCCCTGCGCCCCCGCCTTCGGCCCGCGAGCGATAACGCCCTCGGCAGCGGCGGCGGACGGTGGACAGCGCTCAAGGCGGAGTCCGTGGGCGATTGCGCTGCGACAGATAACGGCGCCAATCGGTCACTGGGCCCCGCCCCGCCCCACCAGCCCGCTCCGCCCCACCCCGCCTCAATAGCCCCTTCTCGCTCCTCCCCGCCTCTCCCCGCCTCAGCTCCCGAACGGCCCTCCGACACCCCTTCGACAGCCTCCGACAACGGTCCTCCGACACGGCCCTCCTGAACGGCCTCCACACGGCCCTTCCGACACGGCCCTCCGAACACGGCCCTCCGACACGGCCTCGACACGGCCCTCACACGCCCTACGACACCCCTCCGCACGTCCCTCGACACGGCCCTCCGACACGCCACGACACAGCCCACACACGCCCCGACACGCCCTCCGACCACGCCTCCGACACGCCCTCCTATCACGGCCCACCACACGGTCCTCCACACGCCCTCCACGTGCCCTCCGACACGCCCTCCACATCAGCCCTCCGACACGTCCTCCACCACGCCCTCCACACGCCTCCGACACGCCCTCCACACCCCTCGACACGCCCTCCGACACGCCTCCGACACGGCCCTCGACACGGCCCTCCACACCCCCTCCGACACGCCCTCCGACACTGCCTCCGACACAGCCCTCCGACACGGCCTCCACCACCCTCCGGACACGCCCTCCGACCACGGCCCCCGACCACGGCCTCCACAACGGCCCTCCGACAGCCCCCGACACGTCAGCCCCCGACCCGGTACAGCCCCCGCACGGCACAGCCCCCCGACACGACACAGAACGCCCCCGACACGACCCCACCCGACGTCACCCCTCTCCCCCGCTTCCCTCCGCCAGACCCCCGCCCCACCTCTCCCTACCCAACCCTACGCGCCGCCCCGCTCCCGTCCCTGTTACCGCCCCGGTTCCTTTTCGGTCCCCGCCCCGCCCCGCCGTCGCCGTCGTCGCCGCGATCGCGCGCACCGTTTTCGAACACGACAGGCGGCGCACCCGATGGCCGCGCGTCCGCCGCCGATACGCCAGTCTCCCCCGCGCGCCGCCACAGCTCGCACGCGGCCGCCCGGAGAGCTCCCCGCCCGAGGAAACAGCCAGGTGCGTAAACGAGCCTGCGTCGCCGCTGCCGCTCGTTAGTCAGCCAGGAAGACCCTCGCCCTCGAGCGGGTCTCCGCGGCCACGGCAATGCCTTCCGAATGCCTCCCGCTACGGCCTTTTCGTCACCTAAACGACTTGCCCTGTGGAATTCTATTTCACGAAAATGTCTCCAAACGCCCTCCCCTGTCAAGTTTGTGTCACCGTTATGCATCTGCGGTATTAATTTCGCGAAACACTGGCAATACCTGCCTGTGGATTCGTCATCAATCATATGCGATGCTTGTTTGCCCACTATTTCCAGCAACACTGTTAAAATGCTGCATTATTCAAAACCTATTTTATCATTAGTACCATTTGAATAAAATTAATGTAATACATAGCTTCCCTCTTAATTTTATATTTGTTGTAGTAGACTTATTTTGCATTTTTCTACTTTTGGATTCAACTTCTCATCGGCCGTCTGAAATGTTACGTAGAACATACGTGATTGCACCGCGACTCTGTTGTTCTAATGCCCCAATTCCTATTATCTGTATTCCGGTTTCAAAGGTGACTTTTTTCTTCACGCTAAGGTATAATACGTGAGTGATATGCTTCTACAATCATTCTAATTTATGAAATTTGTTAATAAAATGTTTCAAGAACAACGCTTGTTACAGAAATAATATTGACACTCGGTAAATATCGTTCAATTCAAAAACACTATTATGCGGATACACTATTAATGGAAATAAATATATTATAAATATAAATAAACTTTAAGCGCAATCCCTATAAACCTTTCAGAGAAGCCCATCGTTTTAATTTTTGTGATCAAAAGATATAGTTTTACCTCTCACGTTTCTCACAATTGACCAGAGTTATCAAGAATCAAATATGGTGGCAAGTATTTAGAAGAATTCTTGTTACTCAATAATTAGGGCTCTGCCGGACATTGCTACCTTTGAATCGTGTTTACTTCACGACGTCGCTCGAGAGTCCGGAGTGCTCCGGACTCGGTCGAAGGAAACCAATTCCGTTTCCTCATTCGTGTTTACGCCATGCGTTGCTCAAGTGTCACGGGAGTTTCGATGCACTTTCGCGGCTCTCCTTTGCAGCTACATTAAGTCAAAGGCACGCTCTAAAACATTACACGCGACAATAAACCACTTTTTAAATTGGAAATAATTGGAATAACATAACTATTTATAACAAGTGACAGCGAGTCAAATGCTGCGTATTTTGGATCCGTTTTCTACGCTACGATGAACTCTATTCTCCTGTATTTTGCAATACGGTTCATTTTAGAATTTGAAGACGTTATCAAGTGAGCAAAAACCATTCGATCACAGTGCATTTCGCTCTTTGCAAATTAATAATTTATAAAAGGCGCCGATGTTTTATTTTATGAAGTTCTAGTATAATATTTCTCCAGAATAAATATTTGCCCTTCGACGCATGTGAGACACATTTGTTATAGTCACAGCTTGAATTTCAGGCATCATCGACGCCCCCTCTTTTATTAGTCTTAAAATACTTTTCTGTTTTCCCCCAATTTGGATGCAAACTATTTTGCTATTCCCTATATAAGTGTGCAGGGCAACTGTGTATAAAAGCCGGGCAGATGTGGAACACGATATATTTGGTTATTATTAACAATTAAAGATGGTTCTGATGAATCTGAATATTCATCCATATTATTAGGTGTAATTATGTTCGTTACTTTAATCATTTGATCTGTAGAAAAAAACAACAACTATAGATTATCCATTACCTTGTTTGGATCCGTTTCCTTTCATCATCTGGCAAAACATTTTTTTTAGAAAATTAGCCATAATATTTTCAACTTTCTCGCATACTACTTACGTAGTATTAAGTTATGTCATTTTGCCACAAAACGGTAATATTTGAGTGGAAAAAAATGTATTGTGGATCCTTGATATAAAAAAATGGATAGTTCTTATTCCCATATCAAGTAAATTACTTTATCACGTTATTTAGTGAGAATGCATATTTTGTGAGTCCTTGATAACGAAAAGTTGCATTATGGCAAAACATCTGTCCATTCGTCTACGGGCAACGCGAGCGGCTAAAGTGGAGGCAGGATTTTCACTCAAAATGATATTCTCCGATCAATATGGCTGATGTCGCCGCCCCGTGAATTGGAAAGGAATAATATGGGAAAGGAATATTTGAATTGTTCGGGGTATATTCAACTGGGGGATATTCAAATATTGAAATATTTTATAAAAATTGACTCCAAATTTTTGGATAACATTTTTATCGGATAGGGCCAAATGTGCTTATATTAAAAATGTAGGCCCGATTTTTGAAATCATAATTTTCAAAAATTGCAAAAGCCTAAAAATTGTCGGCGTCTTCAGCCAAATACAATGTTACAGTTAGATATTTCCCTTCTGAATGAAGTCTTTTCTTCAGAATTGGATCATTAAATGAGTTCATGCGCAACTTTTTCAAAATCTGGGAAATTTTCGAGTAATTTTGCATGAAATAAAGCCAATTTTAAAAACAAGATTTTCTCAAACCCGGCTTCTATTTTTTTCCTCTGTGTACTGATACTGTTAAATAAACTTAATAAATATGACATCAATGTATTCTTCTGATTTTTTTAAAAATCACACTTATGTAAGTTTTTTTGTGTCTAACGCGACAATTTATATTATGCGCATTTTTATACATTATTGCTTTCCAATGCTTCAGATTATTCCTTATGAAATTTATCATCAACTAAAAACTTTTCTGTAAAACAGCTTAAAATTGTAAGTTTGCCGACACGTCCAAACTATATTTTCTCTAAAAGGTCTCCATTTTAAATGAAAATTGTTTAAACATTGCCTCAATTTAACGCAAAATTACTCGAGGACACCTTGGATCTTATTGCCAGATCTATCTTTGAACAACAGCTTTTATTTGTACTAGAGGAAAATATCTATCTAAAGTTTTGTAGTAATAATATGAAAAAAATTGAAAAATCCTGAATTGAATCCTGAAATTTTCTGTACTTTCATGTAATATACCCCCAAAAGCCCAAATATTCCTTTTTCAAATTCCCAGGGCCTCACCACATCGAGTGTGGAAGACCAATTTTTGAGAAAACGGCCTGATCGGTTTAGAAGGCGGAGAACTAGACGGACGGAAGACTTACACACATTTTGCGTCAACCTATTTTCCGGTATTTAGGACCCACAAAGCATAAATTCTGTCTAAATAACGTGTTAGAAGAAGTAATCAACGACATACAGGAACCCGATTTATCCACGTTTTACTGAGCAACGGGAAGCATCTGTCACCACAATGCGACCTAGTAGCGAATCAAGCCATTGCAGGAACAATTAACTGTTGGGCATCAACTGATGTACTGAACCATTTCTCCCTGACCAAAGAGGTGGTAAATGATGCCATTCAGGTAAATTTCCATGTCCACTGTAGTCCCTCAGACCGGAAGATCCTAGGTTTGAGTCCCGACGGCGGCAGGATTTTCGATACTAGCTAGTCTGCTAGTGCGAATTCATACGCAGTCTGGGGGAGAATTCTAGCGGCCGGTTGCTCTGATCGGCAGTAGTTTTCCGTGGTTTCTCCGATCAACACCAAGCGATGCCGGAGCAGTACACTAACAAACGGGCCACGGATCGCGCGCGATCTTTCCTACTTTTTCCTTGTCGTATTCTCACCCTTTACACATACACACACACACACTATCATGTACGACACTACTTCACATGCCGGGACACTGGTCTGGAGCTTAGAGCTTGTCCCGGCTGGGGCGGTGCCTAGCTGATGGGAGATACTTGGTTGGGCTAGCTAATCCCGCTAGCTGACGATAGGTCGGCGCCAGATCTCGTCATTCAGCGAGGGAAGACCACCGCTACACTTATGGGACTACTGACCCTAGTAGTTTACGCGCCCGGAATCACTAACAATAAATCAATCAACCACCTTCTTGGCCAACCCTCACCGATACGTGACAATTGCCTTTACTTTCCGAAGGAAGCCGTTCGAAGGATTATCTATCCCTCAAATCCAACGGCTTAGACCGGTTTTGAACCCGCAAAGTCGAGTACAATGGTCCGATATGCCAACACTATGACATCCGTATCATAGTTGTCTGTAAAGGATTGACCTACACAACCAAAACAAACAGTTGCATCCACGAGAGGGGGTTTCGCCCTGAAAAAAGAGCAACGTACGCCAAAAGTATAAAATATTGTCACTGAAGACTTAAGAAATTGATGAAGGAAGGCGTATTAGCTAACTCACTATGTAGTATATTCAATTCTTAAATCAATTTGTTGATTTTCATTTGTATTTATACAGAAATATTCTATTATCATTAGTTAATTGATATGTTTTTAGTAACTTTGAATATTTCCGGAAGAGGCTTCCTACTTTTTGTGCTTGGGACCCATAGAACCGAAATCCGACCATGATTGATTTTTTAATAAATACGTATATATAAATAACAGGTAATGTGCGAATTTTGTAATGTGCGAATGTGTGTCACACGCAAAAACTACTCAACCGATTTCGCTGAAATGTTCATATTTGGTTATTATTAGTATCGGGAGTATTTGAAGAGTGGTTTGCATTAAATCGGACATGTGAGGGCGTTGTTTTGCAAAATTAATCGAAAAAGTGGGCTCTTCGCCATTCTCAGAGAACCTTAACTGGTTCTATGGATACCTTTTTGAACTACGCACCTCGCTGCGTCTCATAATATTCAATAAAATCGAAGTTGCGATGTAGAAAGCAGGAAGTCTGAACCAAATTGAATCGATTTTAAAATGTAACAAAATGTCGTGAAGTGTATTTAATACGTAGTTAATGCTCAATGAATAAAAGCATTTTGAACTTGACGCAAAGAGAGGGACGGTGTGCCGCAGGGGCAGCATGCTACTCTTGGCCGCCGCCGCAGCCGTCCTGGCGCTAGTGGGCGCGGCGCGGGCGCAGTGCGACCTGCAGCAGCACGTGGCGGTAGGCACGTACTACGACATCGCCAGCCCCAACTACCCGCAAAGCTACACGGCGGGCACGCAGTGCCGCTGGCGCGCCACCGCCGACGCCGGCGCGCAGCTCAAGCTCTCCTGCGGCGTCTTCCAGCTGCCCGCGGTGAGTCTCCGCCATGCCGCCTAACGAGTGGTCGAACACCCGAGCAATGTCGAGTTACTTCCGTTAGACTGTGGCACAGGGCAACGAACAATGCCACTGCAATGCCTCTGTGCCGGAGGTCTTGTGGATCGATCCCGATAGTGACAGTTTTTCGACGCTAGCTAGATAGCTGGATCGACTTCAGCCGCTGCCTGAAGGAGAATTCTACCTGCCGGCTGCTCTGATCGGCAGTTTTCCGTGGTTTCTCCGATCAACACCTTGCAAATGCCGGAGTAGTTCCCTAACAAACGGGCCTTAGACCGCGCGCGATCTTTCCTCCCTCTTCCCCGTCCTTTCCTCGCTTCTTACTTACACAAAGTTACTCACACACGCACTTCAATACCATATATGTCGGGAGACCAGTCGGGTGTTTACAGCACGTACCGAGTAGGGCGCTAGCAGGCTGATGGACCTGGTCAGGGAAAATCCTCAGAAGCGCACGTTGATTGGCACCGGATCTCGCCAGCCAGTGGGGGTAGATCACCGCCTCCGCCTGCTATAAAACATGTACTACAATTAAGGGATTAATAACCGTATCACTTGATGCGCCCCGAATCACTAATCAATCAAACAATCGATCAATCCGTTCGACTGAATTTACTGCTTCTAGGAGCACAGCGATAACAGAGTTGAATTCATTTCAAAGAAGCTGTAGAGAAGTTTTTTCCAATGTATGCGACACTTGCCCACATGGGATGTTAATAATAATAATAATAATATCGTTGCATCTTCAGTATTGTTGGTCGGAAGGTCTTAGTGTTTGCGTTCCGACGGTGGCAGATTTCCGACAATGGCTACATAGTCTGTCCGTGTCGAAGGAGAATTCTAGCGGCCGGTTACGCCTCTTTAGAGACAGGTAAACACTTGCTAAATTTCTGCTTCGGCAGAATCAATAAAGGTTTTGAAGATGGCGAATTTAGAGAGCGTAAACCGCCAATAGAAGGTGAGATACAACGACTTGGTCATGTGATGTTTCATGTAGTGAGTGCTTTGCGAAACGTTCTCCACCTAATTCACGTGAATGAAAGTTATTTCCAAGTATTGTTGAAGATCGCTGCCATCTCAAAATTTCCAAAATGGCACATCGGCGTGTTTTATATGTGCGCCCTATTTTGTTTTTCGATCCTTATTTTGCGTATGTGACTAGGATTCCAGCGTTTGCGTCGCTCTCCCCCTCACAACTTTCATTGGCGTAACGTTTAAGGTGACGACAATCCACGTTTTTGTTCGTACTGCGTTATTTACATATCGTTGAAGTTCGAGACAGCGCACAACCTCTCGATCTCGAAGTGTTTCATGTTTTCGCTGTGCCAAACCGCTCCATTCAACGAAGTATACACAGTGTTTAAAAATGCACAACACGTGACTGCTACCAGATCTATTTAGTCACAGCTTTTCAACGACTATAACTCGTGCTTAGCAAGTTAAAACGTTACTCCGTATACACGGAAAAAATTTGGTGTGACAACAATTGATGTATTGGATCCGATGTGTTTCTTTGCACTATCTTGATATATAAAACTGCATGTGCATGTGTATGTATGCAGATCGCGAATCAAAATGTTACCTCCAGTTACTCTTTTTGCAAACGATTCTTTTATTGGATTTAATATTTCTTTTATTATACCGTTTTCAGCCTTTTCGGTGATATTAACTATGAAAAGTGCAGTGTCGGCAGCATAAAGGACTTTTGAAGTAGTTTGACTTAGGTAGATCCGGAATATATTCTGAAAATAGTAGTGGGGGAAGTCAAGAGTATTGAGGGACACCTGCATTTACTTCACAACTAATTGAGAAGATTGAGTCAATACGGACATAAAAAAATAAAAAGGTTCGAATTATACGGAGCGCAAACTAGGAAGTTCCTAATTGCTGTAGTCTGTGCAGAATACGATAAACTTTCCGGAGGATAAACACATTGTAACAAATAGAATTTAACGGTTCGAATAGCCATCACAAGTTTCAGAAAGTTGATATAAAACATAACGACTATTTACAAATTGAAAACTAACACAATTCATTAGCTAATGAGCCCAGAGGAAAACTACTATTTATGAAATTCGCCTCGGAACTTTCGGCCGTAAAAAGTCACGTGAATGTAAAAAGCGCAATAAAACCCAGCAAATAACATTAATTATTTGAGATACAATGGAATCAATTATTATTTTCTGATACTAATATTGTCAAATCAACAATATTCTTCTAAAAGAGTAAAAAATATTGTTTTTTATTGCATGAATGAAAATAAATTATCTTACTTATGAAAAAATATATGACAAATTTTCTAAATTTGTATAAATAAATACACACAAATAAATACTCGATAAAAAGTGTTGAAGATGACACATCCATTTATATATTTTATTATTATTAGTTCATGGTGTTAGAACACCCCTATGTAACGAAACTATCTTAGGATTTCTTTTCCTCACATGTAACCACTTTTTAATTCTGTTAATTGCGTAACAAAGTTTGAACGTCTTTTTACTTTCTTGCTACGGAATAGAGAGAAAGTTATATAATGTTGCGTGGAAAAACGGTGAATTTTCGGCAGAATAACTATTACAGGGCCTTGGTAACGAAAAAGTGGATAAATCCAGTTGCTAAATTAAGAAAAAATATACGTAATAATAACTTAAGAAAAACACGTGGTGTAGCCAGAATCTATGCTATGTGGGTCCTTGATACCGAAAACTCTAATAGCGGCAAAGTGTCCCTCTGCCTGTCTGTCTACCTGTCCCTCTGCCTATCAGGAATACCATTTGGCACGGCAATATATCGATGACAGAAGTCGAGGGTTATCGGCTTGGCCCCTGATCTGCAAGATTCGATTACATTGCTGATCTGAGTCCAATATGCTCACGTCCTCGCCCACGACACAATCGTAAACCACGGAAATGAAATGGGCGCATCTGTGACTGGGAGCGAAACTAAATCATTTTTGTGACGACATTAATTCAAAATAACGAAACTGACTGTTAAATAAAACACCTTAATGAAACTATACTCCAATGGGGATGTAGATAATCCCATTTTACATCACAAATATCAATCATTCCTCTTCCTAACTAGTAGACGATTGTGAAAAAAAACAACATATATCCGAGCAACGCAACGCCAGGTTACTTCAGCTGTTGAGTGAACGATTTGTTGTATCCATTGATACACAGACATGTTGTACTAATAATATTTCCCGAAATAATAATAAATCTAGAGCCTCGACAGATCGAATGTTCAGAACTCTGGTTCAATTATATGTTTCAAAAGAGAAGAGAAAGAAGCAAGAACCACGGAACAAATTTTCAACTGGGCATAATGAATGGTAAAAGAATTAGGCTTGAAATCGGAACAATCCTTTGCATACGAACGAATGTGCTAGTTTTCCGCCTCTCTTGAACACGAAATGGTGAAAACTTAGGAAAAGTAAAACACGATGTAATTAGTACCTGTCATACATTTGCAAGAAACACATTACCTCAACGTTTTTATAATATGCAATGGAGTAAACTGAGATCTTAGTGATTGATGAAACCAGGAGAGGTTGCTCAGGGCATCAACTGACGTCACTGCAATGCCTCTGACTGGGAGGTCCTAGGTTCGAAGCAGGATTTTCGGCACTAGATAGATCAAATTCATTTCATATCTCGAGGAGAATTCTAGCGGCTGGCTGCTCTAATCGGTAGTTTTCCGTGGTTTCTCCGATCAATACAATGCGAATGCTGGAGCATTACCCTAACAAACGGGCTACAGACCGTGCGTGATCTTTCCTTCCCGTTCCTTTTCCTATCCTCACCCCCCTTTCTTATTCAACGTACACTTACACGCCCTACATTACCACACATGTTAGAAGTACGGTCGGGGGGGGGGGGTTAGAACTTGTCCTGGCTATGTTGGTGACCCGCTGGAGAGAGATTCCTGGTTGGCGAAACTCCCCTAGCCGAATGGTAGGTCGGCGATGGATCGTACCAATCAGCGAGGGAAGATCACCCCGCACCCATCACTCTTCCGAGGAAAACACATGCACTACACTTTATGGAATAATGAAAGCTGTTGACCCCTCGATAATCAAGCAATCAATCGTGATTGATGAACTGAAGTCACATTTTTAACCCTATTTTCTTCACACATTTTTTTTCGTTTCATAGTGTGTTAAAAATTACACAAATTAATACTTTTTAGAATTGTTTCGTGAAAAATGTTAAAAATTAAGCAAAAAAACTTTTTAAAAGGCGTAAAATAAATACAAATTGTGTAAATACATCAAACCTTATTTTCAACCACCTATGTGAAAAAAAAACATTACAAATTCTAGTTTTAATCATATAATGCGTAAACACATTGATCTGCGATCTCTTCGCTCACAATATGACATTTGTTGCAACCTAGTCGGATAGTCGCCTTTCGATTTGCTTGCTTTGTTTGCTGTAATAAGATTTACTCAGCAATGTTTAGACACTTCGATTAGCTGCATCCAATTCCGAGGGACTTCATCGACTCTAACAATAGTTCGTAATTCGAAGACGTTGTACCCCCTGTACAGAAGTCCCATGACGTGGAACCATTTTCCATTGCCGGATGCACGAGAAAATTGTAAAGGAATCATTTGGAGTACGTGTATACTTTCTTCAGTATTCACATAATTAAGTGACTTCTAAGCTTCGCGCGTTTCATAGTTTACCAGATAAGACCAATGCAGGTCACTTTGAAGTACAGCACCTAGCATTTTCGTTTCTTGTGCTCATCCGTAACTGAAGTTTCACCTGTTACCTTAAAACACACGTTTGCTTTCGCCTCTAATTATGTAATGCGCTACACTGTAGGTGATGCAAATACGATATTTACAATTGTTATCAAGGAACATAATGCGACTTATTTCTCATTTAATATTCGCAAAATTATCCCAATCCAGTGCAATAATTTATTTTTGGAAGATATTGTCTGTATTATCTCCGTACAAGAAATCAACTTCGAACGACTGATCCCTG